TTGCATCATTTGAATGACCTTTCATTTGATACATGCATGCTGCGATACAATGTAGACATGTTAGTGTCTGTCTTAGTGTTCTGCTTTGTTATATATTGATGTACTTGTGTCTATGATGATGTTACTGGTGCCCCGATGCAAATCCTTTATTCTGCCTCTGAGCTGCCAGCTTGGAATCAAACGGGACTTATTATTTTATTTCCCAATAAGGATTTCAAACTCTAAAGTCTGATCAAAGATTGGTGTATGGGACGGGAAGAGGAGCGGGGGGGGGGGGGGGGGGGGGGGGTTGCTGGGAAAACTTTTCTTCCCGCCCCCAGCATATACCCGCTCCCAGTGGCCCCTTATTGGGTATTAAAGGTAATGTTGAGGGCACAGCTGGTAAGAAATGGGCAGCAACAGTTAGGCTTGGGCTATGCTACGTGATGGACCTGGGTGAATGTGCTTGTTGTAATGTTACAGGGTGCCTGCCACCGATGCTTGTACAGTATTTGGTGACCCCCAACCAATTACAATGTCAATATTCTACCTGCGTATCAATCCCTGCCTTGTAGGGAGCACATTTTGGTTGTGCAGATCGGGGTGAGGAGGGAGTGGGTGGCTGGGTTACATGTTAACGCTCCTTCCTTATTATAAGGGTCTTTACAACCACCACCACCTCCTCCTGCCATTTCACTTCCCCAGCTTCTCTCTGTCCAGCGCGTGTTTACCTCAGTGAGCACAGCGTTTCCATAGCAACCAGCATTTTTTCAAAGGGAAGATCTTGTCATTTTATGTAATTCGCCGCAGCTGAAGAGGGCCGAAATATTAAGTTGTTGCCATGGAAACGGCTTTGATAGATCAGTTTCTTTTGTGTCTTTCTGGTATTTTTCCCTATAGAAATGATGGAGTCCGGGAGCCTGGAATTAACACCTTCCTCTCAGAGAATAAAAACCTCTCTGCCACCCCAGATCACGACACCACACACGGCGCCGGTTAGTCTTTGAAGCAGTTACATGTGACAGGAGGCATTAAAGCCGCCACGTCGACTGTAGATAGCACTCCAGCCTCGGTGGTGGGAAGCATGATGTTATCTCCTGTGGAGACATGTAGTCTCCTTGTGTCACGGCTACGGTTATCTAGCTGTATAGTGTTAACAGCATGGCACCACTATGTACTGTATGGGGTCTGGAAAATGAGGCTCATTTTATAGCAGTGTGATGCTGGGATGAAATTGAAGGAAGCAAGGTTTCCGTGTTTCCCATAGCAACCACATTGTTGCTTTTCTAGTTCAGCTGTCTTTTGTTAGAAGTACAGTTGTTCAAGTCCTCCATTTTATACCGTGCCCCTAGATAAAGCAGCACAGCCTATGCAGGGTCAGGTCATCCATTGATGCACAGGTACCTGTAATTGGAGGGTGTGACATGAGGAGTACATGGATAAAACCAATGTGATCTTCCTGTTCTGGGACATAATATAATTCCATGAGGTAAAATCGTTGTCTTCAGCCATTGCTCATGGGCCATATATAGATTTCCGCTAGCTTTGATGTTCCTCACGCTGCTTCTCAGCAGGTACTCGGAGCTGAAACTCCTTGCTTTCACACCTGCTGCATTATACACATAAAGTCGATTTGAACATTAACTTATGTATTTGAGTTCAATAAAGGGGGACCAAAGTCTTTTTAATGTTTTTAGATTTACATAATACCAAGATCAATTTAAATGTAGGCCATGGTAATGTATGAAAAACACTGAGGAGAATTGATCAACACTGGAGCAGCTTTGCACGGCAACCAATCAGCATCTCTCTCATTTTGACATCTGAACTGAAGAAACGAAAGAGAGAAGCTGATTGGTTGTCATGCACAGCTGCTCCAGTTTTGATGAATTCCCCTCAATGTTTCCTATGTATAGTTCATCATTATCCCGTTATCTCACTACTACTCGGTATACACTGTGCACAGGGTTTCCAGGCATGATTGGCAGCCAAATATCTGCATGTGTTTGGAATATTTGTTTTGCAAACTACAAGATTATTTTCCCATCAAGTTTATCTAAAGCCGCATATTTTATTGTATTTTTTTTTTCTTTCCTGGCTAGAGTAAGGAAGGATTAAAGGAGAACTATGGGGTTAGGGCTTTTCACCATAGTTCTCCTAAGGGTAACAGGAGGACACAAACTAGCGTCCTCCCGTCACCCAAAGCTCAACATACCGCGAGCTGATACGCCGCAGCCGGAACAGATCCCGACAATTATGTCTGGATCCACCCAGCTGCCTGAGTGACAGCTGGCTCTGCCTATCTAGAGGCAGAGCCAGCTGTACCCGCCCCTCCCCCGTCCGTTCCGCCAGTCAGCGCTGAAGGTTTGGACAGGGGAGAGGGTAATCCAGTCCCTCCCCTGTCACGGCTCCCTGCCGTCACAGGATCGAGAAGTGAGCGAGCGCCGGTATGTGTTCGCTCACTTCCCAATCTACTGAGCCGACCTGTGACGGTTTCACTGTCACAGGCCGGCTCAGATTAAGGCTGAGTGAAAATCACTCACCTCATAGTTCTCCTTTAAGGATTTGTGTGGCCCTCTGTGTCCCATGGAGGGGGGTATCTTTACTTTCTGTCAAGACAACCGGAAGTGAGCAAAATTCCCTCCTAGACAAGATTGCCAGATGGAAGATTTCTCTTCCATTCCTCTTATGAAAGCGAAAATATTTGGATTTTCTATCGCTTTCAATAGTCAACAGAACAAAGAGGGCGAATCTCCCTAGCTGGGACACACAATAATATATTTTTTTTAAAAGTAACCTTTTACCGCTCTTTCTAACACCAAAAGAAGAAAAAAATGTTGGCTTTGGATATATTTTAACCTCTTTGGGACCAAAATGTTACACCCTGTTCCTGGCGAGGCTATTTTTCAATTTTTAAATGTTGCGACAGATGTCAACCAACATACCCAAATTCATTTTATATATTGTTATTTTGTGAGAAACCGAGAACTTTCTTTTGGTGGTATCTAATAACCACAGTTTTTTGTTTTTAGAAATTTTAGAAAAATTTTGAAAAACAAAGTTTCCTTTACCTCATGTTATAAAACATATCAAATAACCTTGTAAATGGTAGTAATGTATTCAGGCACTGGTACCCGTGGCTGCACTGGTACCGTGGCTACACTGGTACCGAGTGGCAATCAAGAAGTGCCTCCAATATAATTTTTTTTCTAACATATCGGTGTGAGGGAGGAAAGGGTGAGCTCGCTGCTAATCTCAGCCATTGCTTACAGTGCCACTGTACTTTTTTGTGTGATCTGTACTGTCCAATGACAACAGGTACTGTGCTGGTTGGTGCTCTAGGGGGTGGCCACTGCCCACAGGAAAAAATGGCCTTTTAAAAGTGGTGACCTGTCCTGGGAGGCATGCCATCTGGCTGTTCAGTTACAACAGACGGATGGAGGGTGGGTAAAATAATGTGATTTGGTAATGCTGCTATGTGCGTTTTTTATTCCTGTGAATTGGAATGACTTGATGTCATTAGCTTTTAGGTTTTGGCAAAATGCATGATCATGGAAAATCCATTGTTTAAGTAGGGTCTGTTCACACCAGTGCATTGCTTTCATTAGCCTTGGGAGCGTCTTGCTTGCTGTGTTTGTGTTGACCATCTTTTGCTATTTGTGTCAGTAGAATGAGGTCCTTTGCAACACATGTACATCGTGTCTAAACATGCATGCATTAATATGTACTGAAAGTCATACATTTGGTGTAGACGAGCCCTGAAATGTGCAATGAGATGGTTATTGATCAGCACCTTTTATAAATGCTTTCTATATTGACCTATGGAAGCAAGTCACGGATAGGGTGTGAATGTGATTGCTGATCTAGCATTAGACATTTCAGAAGTTACATTTATATGGCTTACTAACACTTGCTATGTTTGAAGGTGGTCAGTCTGCTTCTCCAACTCAGAAGCATGTTATATTCACTTATGCCTGTGTACACAAACCCTAAGGCTGGGTTCACACCTAGGCGTACGGAATATGCGCGTTTGCCGCAAAGAATACGCCCCAAAGAAGCTCCTGTACTTTTTTGGGCGTAGGCCGTTTTGCAGCGCGTTCCTATGCGCTGTAAAACGCCCAGTTGGTAACCATGCCCATAGGCAATCATTGGTTTTCACGTGTTGAGCGTTTTACAGCGCGTATGAACTAAGGCCTGATCAAGCTGCTGTGGTAATGCACAATAGTGTGCAGTGGTACCATTCATTATGAAAAATACTACAACGCACCTTTCCTAAACACCTGCTTTGCAGCAAAACTCACCGTAATGCATTACAGTGCGTACTGTTGTGTGATGCATTGCTAAGAAATGGTGCAATTGCCTTTTTTTGGTGCGTTAGGGTGATTCATTATGGCAGCCCATTTGCGCCGTAGCCCATACATTCCTGTGGGTGAGCCATGCTCCAAGTAGCTTCTAGAGATTGTACTAAGTACGTGTACCCATAGGATTAGATGGGTCTCTGGCACATTCACATACTGAAGGGGAGCCAGCCGGGTCCATGACGGTGGTAAGATCATTGGATCGTGGCTGAAGGTAAGTATAACGCCAAGCTTGCCTGGTCAGTGGGGTGGAGGGCTATATTAATGTATAAAGTTGTATTTGATTCCTTTGGCTCTTGCTTACACATGCATACTACTGTAATGTAAATACAATTGTGGTGTTGGAATGCTCATGAAGAGTATGCCATTAAATGGTGGCTGCCGTAGAGATTTTCCTGATTCTGTGCAGTATTTTGTGAGAAGACTATTTATTACGGTTTTTTTTTATCAGATGATCATGGTTGGCGGCTGTTTTTAGCCAATAGTAAGAACTGCAAGAATACCAAGAAACATGCCAATGTGCATTATATGAAAATAAGAAGTCCACTCTGGCATCTGTCACAATTGGAATTCTTGCTGCTAAACTGTTGTATTGATTCCTGCTCTATTGCCAGATCAATATGTTGAGATGCTTGTCTAATGACACTAATTTGTCTGTTACAGGAGGCTGAATAGCACCCAAGGGGAAATTCGTGTGGGTCCGAGTCACCAGGTACATTTATTTTCACCTCTACCTTGAAACTACGGTGCAGAAATGTATCTTATAAGACAACTTGTCACTGGCTGCAACAGACCATATTCTGTCTTATGTGTGGAACTCGGTACACCATATAGAAAATGTCACATAGCTATTAAGAGAATGATCGCTGGGTTATTTCTTTCCCTGCATCTCAGTGTAAAACTTAACTTCTCAACAAATCTTGCCCCCTGAATACACAGGAGATGAGTCAACCCACTTCCATACACACAACCTAAATAACAGTTTGGGGTGGGCTGACCCTTTTATTGATTTAAATATTGTCCGAGACTATATGTGACCTTTTTAACATCCATCTCACAGATTCTGATGCATAGGCAGCCAGGTTAGGTTTATGTTCGAACATGAATATTCAGTCTTCAGATGCTGTAATTTTGTAGGATTACAAGCAGTCTCTTCAGGTTATAGTCAGAGGTCATCTGACAGTTGCTGCCTTTGCAACTGCGTGATCCTAGGCAGCGTCTCTCAATTCCCTCCTGTATGTAACTATGTCTGATAACAGATGCTCTCCCATTTGATGCTGGGAGAAAGCGGAAAGGACAGCAGCAGTGAGACTTCTCTGACCACTGATACTCAGTCAGAAGTCTCCAACCACCCTTACATTTCATCACGGTGTCCGCAGGTATCTCTTGCTACATCTGGTGTCAAAGTGCATCCATCTGCAATCAGAGAGACAGTTCACCAATTTAACCTTCATGGGAGGTGTGCCAGGAAGAAAAAAAACTTGGCTGTCCAAGAACAACATTGGAGCAAGACTACAGTTGGCTAATGAACATGCAAGCAAAGGCCAGGCCTTCTGGATCAATGTGTTGTGAACTGATAAATCAATGATAGTAGTTTGGTCACAATAGACTTGTTTGGCACAAACCGAAGACCGCATTTCAGAAGAACCTCAGACCAACTTGGTAGCATGGGGGGGGAATTATCGTTATTGTTTAGGGTTGCTTTAGGGCCTGGGCAGCTTGAAGTCATTCAGTATGCTACATACTCTGCATAATATCCAAGTGTGTATGTGAGGCCATCTGTCTAAAAGTTGGAAGTTGAACTGATCGTGGATCTTTCAACACTAATGATTTGATGCCGGTTAGGAACTCCACTAAGGAATGTCTCAAAAGGAGGGAATTGATGTTTATAGACTGGTCAAGTCTTGATTTGAATCCAATTGAATTGTTGAGGGGGAATCTGAAAAGGGACATTCATGCAAGGAAACCCACCAGCATCTTGAAACTGAAGGAATTTTACAAAATGTCAGACACTAGTGGGGAGTTATTGAGACATCTATAAAAAGTAATTTCTGCTTCTGAGGCCAAGGCTGTACTTTGTTTTTCCATAGTACACCATTACATCTATTTTTATTTTTGTGGAATTAGTAACTGAGAAGGCAATTTTCTTCTTGTGCTGTTATTCAGGTGTATCACTTTTATCTTTAGGCACGATTTGAATGAAGATCTTACATTTTCCTGTTCAAACTTTTTTATTGAATGTACTTTTTTTACATCTGTACGTAAGCCTGCTCAGCTATGGACAATCAAGACTGGTCGGTTCCTTTTAAACTTGCAAGGAGAGGAGAAGCACAATCTGGAAAGATTTGGTTCAGGACTGCATATCATAGATCGATATATTTCTCCCCTCTGTCCTTTTATTGCAGCCAGCAACGAAGAGACGAATGCATATTTGTACTTCTATATTTCTGAACTTTAACGTTTGCAGTAGACGTTGACGTACTTTATTGCTGATGCTTAAAATTCATGTTCCCAGAGACCATCATTATCAGCCCAGCCACAAACATTATTTTATGGATGTCCTGGACTATTAGGTTGCAGAAGTTGCCCTGCTAATTGTGGGCGTAAAAACACTGCCAAAGGCTCTGATCCTCTGACTCATAATTGGCAGCTTCCAGATAAATATTGCCTTTTTAAGTATGATTTGTATTGCATCCATAAGAAGTAATTACAGAGGCTGGAAACCATTCTCCGTGAAGTACTCTCCATTCTTACCGCTAATATCGCTGCAGATGAGTGAAGCTACTAATTAGGTCTCCTGACACAGAGTAATATCTGTTTAATGACAGACTTTACTCCCCCAAGCTGCGTAGCTTTTTGCATATTTTACTTGGTTAAGCCTGGCCTGTTCACACATGCAGCATTGCTTAGTCCTGCCACAGTAAACCGTTTGATTAAGAGATTCTGTTGACACCTGTCTTACTGGTCCATTAAACCTAAGCTGCAACTTGGTTCATGCAAAACTCTTTTCTTTTAATTTTCTTTTTGAAAGAATAACTACTCCTGATGCCAATGAGGTTAAAGGGACATGCTCTAGAACAGTTCCTGTGGCCACTGCTTTTTAAATATAGCCGTATCATATTAATGTAAAGTTAACAGTGTTGTACTCCCTCATGGAGCGGAGAGAGAGTTTCAGATCTAATTTGTGTTTCTGTTATCGGAAACAAGCAAGCTTTTTTTAATGGGGGCAGCAGTGCCATCTACAAGATGGTGTCCTATCCTAAAGAAGAATCAGTCCGGAAAGTGCAATTTTTGTGAAATGTAAACTTTTAGCACAAAGTGATTTTTCAGAACTGCTCCCCAAAATGTGTTGTATGGCTGGAGAATGAAATGGGTCTCCTAGCTGTTCTGGAGCAAGGAAGTCTGTTTATCCTGCACACAGTTTTCTCTCCAGATCTTTGTAGTTTTCTCTCCAGATCTTTGGACCCAAACATGTATATTTACTGAAAGCAAACGACAGACATCCTTCAGTAGCTGGATTTCCAGGCTAGTTATGATGCAGCTTGCCATAATCACTACTGATGATTTCCCAAGTTTGTAATGGTGTCTGCAGAATTTGAAGAGTGTTCTGTCATAAGATCATTCTCAGATCCGATCCAAATCAGCTGAATCGGACAACAATCATGTTATGTTTTTGAGATTCTGAACATAATCCTTTAGGGGCTTACCTTGCCTTGTAAGATGAACTCACTTCCATAGAGAAGGCAACCACAAGGCCAACAGAACAGTAAGGTAGAAGAGCTCTCTAATGGGGCACATACAGCAATAACTCATTTATAGTAGAGTGGGGAATTTTAAGATTTGATTGTGTCTGTGACCCCACTGGGGTGATTCTTCCCTTGCTTCCTGTTTTGTTGATCACTAGTATAGGAAGTGAGGAGAAATCACTTAAGAGTGTACTCTGACAACCAAACAAAACCCAGGTTCTAACCTTTCCTCCTTCCATCCAATACTGGGGAAAAAAACGAAGGAGTGGTGCATCGCACTGTGCGCTATATGCGAGGATACCTTAGCACAAAGCCAACATTTCATTTTTAAGCATTGAAAGCATATACAGGTATGTCCCTGACTCTTGAAAACTCCATGATAGCTTCTAAGCTGGACTTATTTCTCCAGCACCCGGGCCATGAATAATTGGATCAAGCGGCTTGGACTGCTCACACAAAAAAAAAATGTAGCCAGGAACCAAAACCAGATTTTGTGTCTATAGGCTTTTATCCTTTCGTTCTAAAATCCAATTATTAAATTAAAGAAGCACTCTAGGCATAACTATGTTCTTGCTTTTGTCTAGGAACAAAAATAAAGTTATACTCACCTGAATCTCCCACTCGGCTGGCTGCTACACTACTTCCTGCCACGTTCCAGCAATGGAATGTCCCTCAGGATCCTCATGTCCTATACACTGTATAGTATCTTATGCCTCACCGGGGCTTAGACTGCTGGAGCGGAGACAGGCTTCAGGGACCGGTGTAACAGCCAGCCCGCTGCGAGGTTCAGGTGAGTATGACTCTTATTTCATGCATAGACGAGCACTTAACCCTTGTAATGCGGAGGAAGCCCCTGTGCAAGGGTTAAGAATAATCATGTACAGAGTTCTTCTTCAATGTGCTTGCCCTAGTATTGGGCAAAAGTGTATTCTCTCTTCTGCTTACATGTTTAAAATGTTGTTTAGTTTGGAGCCATGAATCCATTTATCAGCTCTGGGCTCTGTGTTCTCTCTACCTTTTACATATTTAAAATGTTTCTGATTAAGTTCATTCATTTATCAGCTCGGGGCTCTGAAGTGCTTCTGTTTATTGTAGGCCAAGCTTCCTGATCTGCAGCCGTTCCCTTCACCTGACCGTGATCCTGTCACTCAGCATGAAGAACTGGTGTGGATGCCCGGTGTCAATGACTGCGACCTGCTGATGTACCTGAGGGCAGCCAGGTGAGCTGTGAAATGTCCTCTGGTGCTCAGCAGACAGTTAGTGTTTGCTGGCCAGAGCTGCTAATTCCACAGAGGGCATCATTGATTTCCAATGCCTTTTGTGTCATAAGATTGTTTAAGATGCCGCCTTTGATGTAATTGCACGGAGAGAATATTTAGGGGGTAGAACTGTTTGGTGGCAAACCCCAGCCAAAAAATAACTAGGAAAAACATGTTCTGTTACTTTATTTCTGCAATGTTTAATTAGAAATTTTACCCACAATCAAAACAAAAAAGCTTTTCCAGGTGTTTTCTGTACATATGCAAGAGCATTTTAAGGCTCGTTTTCAGTTGTCCAATAAAAAGCAGTCTCCGCTGCAAAAACGCGCTATTGGCACGTTTCCATTTAAGTCTATGGAGCAAAACGAGGTGATAGGTGCCACAAAAGAAGCTCATGGACTATTTTAAACAGCGTGTGTATTCATACGGGCGATTCAGCACGTTTGCGTGAGCGGCCCCCATAGGAATACATGGGATTTTGATTTGCATGCATTTCAGCGCTGGAAAACACGTAATGAAACGTCTGGTGTGAATGGGGCCTAATACAGGAATGTTACTGGCTCAGAAGTCCCTGAAGTATGTTTAATTTTTTATTAGTTTGTTTATTAACACCCTCCATGCAATGAATAGTTAATGAGCTGGGTGCCGGAATATGTTTTTGGCTTTATATTATCAGTTTAACAAAACTGTTATCAAAGTTCTGCAGACTTCACCACTTCATAGAAGCATCACCAAAGAGCTTGGAAAGGATATCTGATAAATAATGGGATTGTTGCATGATTTGACATGTCTATTATTTCAACTGCATGGCATAGGTTCCTCACCATATTAATGGCATTCTCTTTTACAGGAGCATGGCTGCCTTTGCAGGAATGTGTGATGGGGGATCCACAGAAGATGGCTGTGTTGCTGCTTCTCGAGATGATACAACACTCAATGCACTTAACACAGTAAGTTGTTTGTTTTTAAGCTTTGTCATCACTGCCTACCATGTTGTTCGATGAAGTCCTACTAGATTACCTGGGGCTGGTGACATCTATAAATCTCTGCACATGGACCCGGTCTGTAGGGATTAGGTTGTTCACCTGACAGATCTCACACATCAGTGATGTAGTAATTGGTCAGCCTCATTTGCCTTAGATTGAGTGAAATCCACCCTTAGGCAAGGCTTCCATTATTAGCACAGACCATAAATCTCAAACTTTTTTATAGTAACATCATCTGGAGAAAGACATTTTGTGTAAATGATTTAAAAAAACTCCAGGCAGAATTCTTCATAACCCTTGCAGTGGGGTACAGTGCACTGTGTATTGGCCATGATAATGCCGAGAGACATACCAGAGGAGCGGTCTAAGGCTGACCATACACTGACTATTTTTTTCATTCAACCAGCGGGCTGAGCGCAAACAATAGACCCGATTTCTCCATCAACCCTAACATTGTGTCAATCGAGGAATCCCGTTGTTTGCTACAGCGGCTGCCGACACTTATCAGAATACCCGACCAGAGCGGGCAGCTCATTGGATGACGGCTCTGATCGTTCAAAACATTTCCGGCAGGATCCTTCAATTAGCTGATGCCAGCCGAAAGAGTTCCTCAAAAACTGGCTGAAATGTGCACAGTGTATGGGCACCTTAAGAGCCAGCCGACTTCGAGGTTTAGGAGAGTATACACTTATTTTACACCCTGGATTAAAACAAGCACCTATCCCTTGCAGTGTGAGGCTAGCCCCACTACAGGGCGGGAAGAATTATTTTTCCCAGAGTTCTCCTTTAAGAACAACTGTACACATGAAGGTCCGCTAAGGATTGTAGACACAGCTAGCCATACACAATTCCCTTTCAATTATTTTCTTTTTTGCAACTTATTTTAAAAATAGATGTTAATGCAGTACAATGCAGTGTAATTGTACATCGACATGACTAAAACACCAAATTCATATACTCACACTCTCACTGAATAGTCAACCAGCTTGCACTTGCAACAACCACACAGATTAAGGCAACCTGCAGCCATCAGTTTCTGCTGACACTGTCAATTGATTGAACCAATGAATGGTAGGTTGCCTTGAGCAACTCTGTTACTTTTGCAATTAAAAAAATAAAATTGATAGAAATTTCTATAAAATGTCCATGTGTGTGGCCAGCATAATACCTTGGGGTTTTTTTTTTAAGCATTGGTCTTGTATTAGAGGAAGTTGTTTAGTCGTGTGTGCTGTTTGTACCAATACCTGACTTGTCCACAAATAAGTGAGATGTTTAAAAAAATAGTGATTGTCATGACTGGGTGAAACGTTGCTGTTATTTTCCGTATATGTGGTTATTAGTAAATTCAGTGGCCCATTAGAGTGTGACATATATATATATATTACAAATGGCTTTGGTATGTTGTTGGCTTTCAGGTGTAAAAGCTCACTCATGTTTAGGCATGTACGTCTGCCCCTAACTAAGGGTCCTCTTTGTTTATTATCTTAAAAGGAAAAGGTCTCCTGAAGACATTTGTATAAGGAAAGGTACACTTCCATCAATGAAGTAATAAAATGAACTAGGATCACACTAATCCAGCACGTTATTATTCTGAGTTGCACCACTCAAGCGGTGGCCATATTGAGTGGAGCACGTGAGATTAATAACGTGCTGGATTAGTGTGATCTTACCGGTAGTTCATTTTATTACTTAATTGCTGTGCTGTATGTGTATAGGCCAATGTAGTTGGATCTGCATGTGCGTTATAATTAATCGATTAAAAAACATTTCGATCAATCGAACACGAAAATTGTAATCATTACCAGCCCTAATATATATATACCTGACATGTAATTAAAGGGTAATTCCTACCTTTGGGCGAATGCTTCTTCCCCTCTGCCGATGTACTATCTGTACTCTGTACATGACAGCACAGCCCTGCGCTCTGTATTTCTAATTTCGCTTGCACATGGCGAGCACTTATTGGCCAACGCAGTCACCTGTCTTGCTAAGAAGTGGTTGTAGACATTATGAATAAAATAAAGTGCTGGAAACCTGCTGCACTTTAGTATGTTTGCTATAAGGAGCACTTGTAAAAACTCTCCAGATCACAAGAGTGGTACCAAAAGTGACCACCAGACATCTGATAACAGAAATGACAGATTTCGGGATTGTTCGCTGACAGGTACAGGAACTGTACCATGTACTGCTCTCACAGGGATGTGGTGTACATTAATAATACTAAGGCAATACAATTTCCCCAATTGGAGATTTGTTTTTAGCTTACACCATTAGGATATGCATTTCTATATAATGTGTGTTGGCTGGTATCTGCTTCCTGTACTCCTCTGCACAGCAACACTTATATTGGGAGAGTCCTGCTAGAAATCAATCAGGACTATGTTGTCATTTGCAGTGTGAGCAGGCTTACAGGTGAGGAGATCACAGGGAGGATGTAAATGAGTTGTTACTGCTTTGGTGTTGATTTGTAGCTAGGGTAGGTCCAGGCTGCATTGCAGTACTGCAATGTAATCTGCAATGGAGGTCTGGCAGAATCACATGACCTACTGAACAGAATTACTAATCCATTCCAGCTAAGCTGGTTATCATACTGTATGTATTTGAAGAATGTACTGTATTTACTTGTCTGGACTTCCACACTAGCTATTCCAGTATTATTAGATGCCATTGTGTTCTTGTCCCGGAAACATTGCAGCTTTTCTAACATCAGTTACTTTTATACATTTCACTGTAGCAAGACTCGGCAAGCTTTTCACAGTGCTTCTGGGCTGAATTGCAGCATTTCTTGGAACCAGAGGAATACGTTGGCCTGCTGTCTCATGGGCTCAGGGATGTCAGGAATAAGGATCCTGGCAACTAGAGGAGTTTAGCAAGACAGTTTGTGTTGTAGGTCCTGTGGCTATTTAAATAATTCACTGACCCCCAGAACGATTTAAATATTAGCCTGGAGCCATGCACCTATTTTTATCTGACTGCATCGTGGCTACGGGTCCTTGAATATACTTATTAGACCTTGAATCATTAGGTTATAGATGCATAGCCATACACACTGCCTCTCAGGTGGTAGTTCCTGTCGTCTCACAGTGATCAGCTGACAGATCGTCATCATCTGAACATCACTATATCATAAACCTGACAGCCGCGGCAATTTTTTTTTCTCGGGCAGATGGAGACGGCTTGCTGCAGCGTGCCTAAAGCACTTGGGTAAAAATGTCTGAAGGCACAAAATACCACCTGGCTATGGACCGGTTAAATTATCATGCACTATACAAGCTGGAAAAGCATAAAGCCTGCCTGGAAGGGAGGGATTGTGCTGCCAGGAGCAAACCAGTCAGATGTTGCCTTTCATTTGCTGAGCTGGGGTGGAGACTGGACATTTGGAAAGTGACTGGTTGCTGCGGCTGACAGATCTGCCCCAGTGTACCTCTGCATCAAGGATTGCATGGTTTACCAGCATTGTTGTGCTGGATACTGATTCTAGCAAGCGATGCGCTACCCGGAGAGATGTAGAGGAGCACGGGATGAGCTGTGTCATTTATTATTATGGAAATTCAATAAGGTTTCCAGGCCTGCTATAAATCAGGCTTGACAATTCCGAGCTTCATTTCTGCAATAACAGCAGCACCTGCTATCAGCAGCGGGAGCGCAGAGGCTTAATGTCTTTGCACAGACACAGCAATATAAAGGTGTGTGTGGAAGAGACAGGAGGGAGGAGGGATACATGGAGCCGATAAGATACATTGCCACACAGAAATGCAGGCTTTTCTGCCTGTCCTTGTGCCATGCTGCTTGTGGAGTGCTTTATCCCCGCGTATGTCTTCTTACAAAGTAGGGCCCACCAATTTGTAAAATGAACTGGTCTAAAAATGAGGCCAGGCAGCCGCTGATGGAAGCAGGTCATCCCAACGGATCCCTTCAGCTCAGCATTCAGACTCCAAGGGAGTGTGGCCTCTCCAATACACTGATCACATCCGTTGCTTCTCATACATATTTTATTTGTATAGAACAAGTAGTAGAGGAAAGCTGTTGTGTTCTAATTATTTGTAGTTTATTGTACAGGTCACCTGAAAGTACTTTTTTTTCTGTGCCATGTTTTCAAGATCATATTTTATATAAAGAATTCCAGTTCACAAACTGGCAACTGTCAGATGGATCCGTTATCATCTGCGCTGATGGATTGCTGCAAGAAATTCCTTTACAGGATAAACCAACTAAAGAGCAGGGGTTAATTTGTATGTCTCCCTGCTGAGAGATCTAACCTCCTCTTGCTGTGTTCTGCTAATCTGTAATCTTTTTATTTCTGGACACTGTAAATGGATGATTGCCAGCAAATAGTTAAATTGCCCAGTAGCACGAGATTACATTTGCCATTATGGTTTAATTCCATATTGTTTTCAATGAAAGTAAGTGGAAAGAGCTGTGTCTTAGGAGGGAGCAGTAAAGCACAATTACTGTGCTGCACTGCTAAGTAGGATCTACTGTCCATGAACCTGGCAAGATATACGTCTACCTTGGCACGCTGTCCAGTGCATGCTTCATATAAAAAAATAAATAAATAAATATATATATATA